GATGGCTGTAGGAGGCCACAAGCAATGCTGCAGACAGATCAGGAGAGCGAAACCTTGTGATTTAAATAGACTCTCAAGGCTTTGAGTAAAGCAGCAGGCAGAGGAGGCTCCAGGAGGTACTTAGGGTTGTAGGGCTTTCGCCACGAGGGGGAGAGACTGTCCCAGGTTTCCTGTAGCTCTCTCCTGGGCCAGCAGCAGGGTCTTGACACAGTGTTAGTGGCAGCATGGCCACGGAACGTGGCACTCCTGTCTCACCTATTGCTGTGAATGCCATGGCAGCAGCTGTAACTCTTGTCAGTAGTTCTTAATCTTCCTGTGTAGTTGGAGCTGTAAGGCACTGATGGCTTCCATGCTGTGTCCATATAAACAGTACTCTCTTTAATTTTGCCCTGTTTACATCATAGTTTCTATGCAAAATAAATAACTCCTGCCCGGGCCTGTACTGTTACCGCATGTGACAGTGAAATTCTCATGGACAGGACCTTACCTATTCAATATTTAACATAGAAACACTCAAGACTGGGAAATTGATTTCTTTTGGAAGCACAGAAGTAACAACTCATACTAGCATGGGGAGCAGACATTCACATGGATGCACTACTGTAGGAATACCATCTGGCTATTACGTGTCCAACCTGAGGTTGCTTTAGTGCCCTGGAATTTGGAATAGTGTCCCTCTTAATCCTACTCAAGGTTTAGCATCAAATAATCCTTCCTTCTCTTTAGAGAAGTCTACCCTTGAGCTGTAGTTCACGCTCAAATATAGGCAGTAGAATGCAAGGCAAAGAGTCAGAGGTGATTCTCTTTGGCTTAGCAGACCTTAGTCTGGACCTGAGTGACTGCACATTACTGAGACTCCTTGCAAGCCAGTGTGCTCAACAAGTCTTTGCAAGTACTCTAAGTGACACAGGCAGTTGATTCATTACAAGTAATAAAGGGCAAGTGTATAGTTCACGTCTGAAATGAGTTTCTTTAATTGCCTACAGAATATTGCAGTCATTAGTTTGAAAAGAACATTAGCCCCAGCTGTGATATTAGGTACCTTGTTGTGTATCTGCCCTAATTCCACGTAAATCAATAGAACTACACTGGAGAAAAACAGAATGCAGATAACCATACAGACAGGCTCACTTTTCTCCCCTTGAAGACACATGGGGTGCCAGGCTTCCTATTCTGGAAAGATCTCTTGATGCTCTTGAACACGGGCTCTCTAACTGCTCCTTGTTGTCTTTTCAAATCCTTATTTTCCCTGCTTCATCTCTGCAGTAGTTTATTAAACGTCTGAAGTTCAAGTTAACATCCATCCTCTTTCTTTTCCCACCTGCTATGGCACTTCACATCCACCTCGTTTGCTTGAGAAGGCTCTTCATTTGCTGGGGTATTATTTGTGTCTATTTTAGTTCTCTATCCCTGATTTTTGAGTGCTTGAGGAGCCAGTAGTGTCCTAGAACCGGAGCTGGACAAAGCGGTGTGCAAGTACAAACCAGGAGCCTGCCACAAAAGCTTACCATTTCTTTTGCTTTTTATAATGTAGTAGTTGAAGAAAGGTGTTAGCAGTGACAAACTGCTTTGGCTTATCTGCAGGCCACGGGTAATAGAGGCAGTGCTAAGCCTCAGCCTCTGACTTTGCTGGTACATGTAGGCTTGTTTGGCCGGACTCCTCTAACAGCAGTCATATGGAAACTGCTTAAATCAATAATGCAGTTAATGCAGGGGCATTGGGGAGCTCTGAGAGGACATTTTGCAAGAAGAGTGTGAAGTAATTGATGCATTTCTGTGGCTTTCTCAGCAAGGAGCTGACTGGAGGAACCATTCTTCCTGATCACTGCATAGTGCGTGTGTCATCTGCGTCTATGGTGTCCGCTGGTGTTCGCTGTGCATTGACTGAGCTGTTCTGGATAGACAGGGTTGTGTCATGATCTAACAAATGCAGTGACAGCAGAAGGCTGACAGTGGTGCTCAGCAGCACTGCTCAATAATGGAACCTCTGCCTTTCTTTTCTTCACTTTGTGTACCAGGGACTTATAACTGCCATTAAAATCTACTTCAAGTTGAGGCTTAGCACCTTGTCCTTGGCTTGGGAGCAATTTGTGTGGGTGCCTATGAAAACAAAAAGCAAGGGAGAATGAGGGAAAGCAAATACGTGCAGTTGAACACACAAGAGGGAGAGATGAAGCTGAAAATGGATGATTGTCTGTGTGGTTTGGGGGTTTCTTTTTCTTCCCAGTCCTTCAGCGTTAAAAATAAATCATAACCGCTTGTTGATGCACTTCTATGACTGGTGATGTGTTCACTATTCTTTAACACATCTAGGATAGCTTTTTCCTTTTGCCATGTTAAAAACCCAAATGAACACAGCCTTGTGAAACCCCTGATGAAATTTGTCATTTCTGCTCTTGAAATAATATTCCCTGGCTTTGGAGAGCTATTAAAACATCATGCACTATTACCACAAATAATAAATGCAGGTAATGCAACTGTGGTGGCGGATGAATCATAAGTAATTGGAATAATACTTTCATTAATAACTCTCTGAAACAAATACTTGTTTTGCTCTGGTATAACTGCATAACAGGGAAATATCTTCCAAAGCCAGGGCTATTTCAGTGATGTAGAGAAGAATAGCAATGACAGATTAGTTCAGTGCACACGGGGGATGCTCAGTTTATCAGTTTATAGTGCTGTGTATGTTTTATATTCATCTTTGTGGGGTTTTTTGCCTCTCCAGAAGTACCTTTACAAGCAGTTTGAGTTCAGTCAGTTCATGTGGGTGGCTGACCACACCTGACTGCTTCAGCAGATACTGTGGCTCACGTTGGCACCCTAGGGGTTGGAGTGCAGCAAGAGCAGCTTGGAATAGGGCTTGTCTTTACATCTGTCTGGCTTTGATGTATGGTGCAAGAAGAGTGGGGCTTAGAGCTCTTAATCTCCAGATGACCCAGGGAGAGTGTGTCTGGAGGATGGAATAGACTGTGTGTGGCAAAAAGCAGACAAAAGAGCTCTCCTAACTCCCCAGTACAGCAACGTGGCAAACCCTAGGTCTTTAGCACCGAGCTCTCTGGACAACCTTCTGTGATTCCTGTACAGCACTGGGTTCTCTTGTTGTGCCTAATGCTAAAAGCAAATGCTTCTTCTCCAGTATAATTAGGCTTTGTTATAGGTGGTTTTGTCTTCTTTCAGTGAAGAGTTTAGTGCCTTTGAAAGCTCTTGACCTGCAGTCCAGGGGGCTGCAAGGCTTTTGCCAGTATCTAAAGCAAGTTGCCTTTCCCAGCAGAAGTGGTGTGAGCTGTGGCAATGCTCTTCTTCCATCACCAGCTGGACATCTCATCTGGACAGGGTGCTGGGACATCTAGTCTGGGTCATGCTTTGCCTAGAAGGGTTGAACGAGATCATCCTTTGGGTCCCTTCTGACCTGATGTTCTGTGATTCAGGCTGTGATATGACAGTTCGTATCTCTAGCAGCGCAAGCAAGATGGAGTGCTTTTACAATGTGTGCTTTAGTGTTGTAATGAGAGGGAGCCAGGGCTGGAACTTGTCACCCCAACCCAAAAAGAGAAGTGGGAGATGCCTCAGGCTTGCTGCAAGTGGCTTTCCCCCATGCTGTGAGTGATTGATATGCCTGTGTCATCCCTTGGTGCCCATCTCCTGCCTCGTGCCTGCCCCTCCATTCAGGACGAGAAGCTGTGTGGAGACCTCGGAGCAGCTTCCAGTGTGTGAAGGGGGCTACAAGGATGCTGGGGAGGGACTCTTCATCAGGGACTGCAGCAACAGGACAAGGGGTGATGGGTTCAGACTGAAACAGGGCAAGTTCAGGTTTCACTAAGGCAGAAGTGCCCAGAGAAGCTGTGGCTGCCTCATCCCTGGCAGTGCTCAAGGCCAGGTTGGACACAGGGGCTTGGAGCAAGCTGCTCCAGTGGAAGGTGTCCCTGCCCATGGCAGGGGTTGGAACTGGAAGAGCTTTAAGGTCCTTTCCAATCCAAGCCATTGTGTGATTCTTACCCACAGTGCTGATGCACATCCTTCCACTGGAGACCAGCTAAAGCCATGGCCCCTAGTCGCTTTACCCAGCCACTGCTAGAGCTTAACCAGAGACTCCAAGGTGGTAATGGAAATTCAGAAGTCTTTATTAATAAGGTCCCTTGACATTCAGGTAATTTGGAGTACATTTACTTTCTAAATAAAAAAAGGAGGAAGGCATCAATCTTTTGATTTTCCTGTGCCGTAGCCCTGGAATGTCAGACAAGCTGAGGAGAGTGCTTTCTTTGTACTTGGTGATGGCATTTTAAAACACTGAAACAGCCAAGTTGTGTGTTTTCTTAATGAGTTGAAACCAGAAGTCTGTTTTCTCTGCATTCAGTTCAGATTTGCATCCCTGCAGTTCCACTGCCTTCACTGTAAGTTCTGTTTCTGATTTACAGCAAAATAATGGGCACTGTAATTTAGCCTCTTCTTTATTACCCAGCACAGATTGTTCTTGCCTTTGTTTCTATTATTCAGGTGAATGGGAATACATTAGTACATTTCCCAGTCACTTTAGTTTGGATGATGCAAGATTTCCACAAGCTCTTGGAGTACCAAGAGACCAGTGGTGGCCAAAATGGAGTGCCTGGTACAATTCTCAGTCTAGAACTGATGTATGTATATGTAAGAATCAATCTGAATAGGACTAACAGGATTGGTTTTGTTCAGTGTTTCATGGTTGAGGCTCCTGTGCTGACTGGAATGGTTACCAAAATGTTTGGCTACTTCATATTATAGCAGAAATGAAAAAAATAAGCTCTAAGAGACATGGGGTTGCAAAGGAAGCAATTATCAACATCAAGCAATAAGCAACATTGATAGTAAACGCTTGGTTTCGGTGATGAGTTCCTCGAGTGAACGAATGTTGCAGTGGCAATCCTCAGCTCCAGAACTGGGGACTGGCACTTCTGTCCTGCGCTGCTTCCAGCTCCTCTCACTGCAAGGTGGCTTCTCACAGCTTTATTTTGCTTTCCTTCTCCTCTTCTTGTAGCATGGAGAACCCGTGTGAAACTGGTCAGGAGTGGCAGAGCTCTCAGTGCTGCAGTGGACATGTCCGAGTCCTTGTTAGGTCTGCAGGGCTCCTTCTTGGAGGAAAGGGTTCCTCAGTGAAACAAAAATACCAGGTTCCCTTATTTTGCCTTCAAACTGTTGATGCCTGCGTGCTAATGCGCAGGGCTCTGGGCAGGTCATGCTGCTCCTCTTCTGCAGAACATACTGGGCTTAAAGTCAGCGGGCTTGCAATTCCCATTGTCACTACACGTGTGCGAGGGACTGTGGTCTGACAGTGTCTGACCCTTGTTGCGCACAAGACTAAGTGATTATGGGAGGTTCAGAGCAGCAGGGAACTTGATCTGAGGCTGTTTTGTCCAAGCAGGACTCTTGCAGCTGATTGTTTTCTTTTGTACCCTTTGGCTTAACCTGCTGGAAAGAAAAGCACACCAGTTCACAGAGAAAGAAAGCAGAAAGCACTCAGAAAAGCCTGCAGATAAAAACCCCTGTCTAAATAATTGACGTTTAAAAAGCTGAGATAAGGAGCACAAAAGGAGGACATCCTCCTATTACAGCCGTGTTGTCTGATCTTCTCCTTGAGAAGGTGGCCATTTAATTTTCTTCTCTGCTCCCAACTGCTCTGAGCTGCTTGTAAATAAATGTCACAAAGGAGCCGTGCTCCTCAAGAGCTCTCCCAGGTTCTGTGAGCTTGGCATTTAGCAAACACACCTCACTTGAGCAAATCTGCCTTCGGTTTTCATCCATAACTCACCCAGGGTATACTTCATCTTAAAACGTAACTTACTTGCAGACAGGTCCTTCGTGTTGGTTTTCCCCTCATATATATTCATAGCTATAAACAAACCTATTCTTGTCCATAGGCATGTAAAGGGAACTTGATTTCCCAAGGATTAAATACGCACTATGCACTCTTGGCGCTAGTTTGCAGAACGGGGGAGACAGCAGGCTTAAAATGGGCAGCATTGATCAAGATTGCTTTTATGCAGAACACTTGGAGCTGTACCCAGGTTCAGGTCCAGATGATCTTCTGCTGATTACAGCTCTTATGAATTCAGACCTAACTGCATTGTAACTCGACAGTGAAAACACTGATTTCTCTCTCGGTGACAAGTTACGGTTCGCAATGGGTTTATTGAGTGTAGTGGTATTTACCGTGGGCTTTGGCTCTGCGTGGAACAGTGACCTGTGCATTCATGATAGATTGTAGTGTAAGACTGTTCTAGATGCAGTATAATGAAGAGTTAAGGAGACAATCTGGAAAAACAGTGTGGTCCAGTGGTCCCAGTGCTGGACTGGAACTCAGAAGTTGTGGTATTGCTCCTGGTTTTGCCATTGATTTCTCTTTGCAACTGCCTTTCTGCCCATCATTTATCTGTCTCCTTTATTTAGATTGCTGAAGGAGCTGTCTGGGAGACCTAGGCCATTAGGCTTAGTGTCAAAAAGTAATTAATGGCATTAAAAGAAACAACTGTGCTTAGGTTGATGCTGATTTGTTTAGCAGAACGCTTATCCTGACTTGCTTAGCATTTGCTGGTGATAAGGAGAGTTAATGGACCTGTATTGTAATCAACTGCTGTAACTGAGCTTGAGAATCTACAGTGTGAAGAGTAGTGTTAAAGCATTAAGCATCTTTCCTTTTTCTCCTGAAATCTCTGACTGCAGGTACTGCAGCTGGGCTCGGAAATCCTCCCACAGTACAAACAAGAGGCACCAAAGACTCCACCGCATATCATTTTGCATTACTGTGTTTTCAAGACTACGTGGGACTGGATCATCTTGATTTTAACCTTCTACACTGCTATTCTGGTCCCTTACAACGTCTCCTTTAAAACCAAACAGAACAATGTGGCATGGCTGGTTGTCGACAGCATTGTAGATGTCATTTTTCTGGTGGACATTGTGCTTAATTTCCATACCACCTTTGTGGGGCCAGCAGGAGAGGTGATCTCTGACCCAAAGCTCATTCGCATGAATTACCTGAAGACCTGGTTTGTGATCGATCTGCTCTCATGCTTGCCATACGATGTCATCAATGCCTTTGAGAACGTTGATGAGGTCAGTATACGAGTTCCACCCATTTGTTATTGCTTCATGGTTGGGGGGAGGTGGGGGAAGGAAGAAGGAAATGGATACCCATGGTGGGGGGGTTGGAACTGGATGATACTAAGGTCCTTTCCAACCCTAACTGGTCGATGATTCTATGCTCTGAATTACAGTGGGTTACTGTACCTATGTCTCTAGTAGCTGCCCTCAGAGCATACAGAAGTTTGCTTATGTGTCCTAGCCAGAAGGGTGCATCCTTAAGTGCAGTGGGAGAGGCTGAGGTTTGTGGTGGCAGAAATCAGTGTGTATTTTCCTCCATTCTCCAGCCTCAGAGTTGAGGAGGACAGGCAGAAGCAGGCAGCAGAACCTCTACAGCACAGGAGAGCTGCTTCATTTGACCTGCCATGAACAGCTTGAACTGCTGTGTCAGAATAGTTTCTTAGAGCAGGCTTCTCTTGCTTTCACTGCTGATCAAAGAGGGTATGTCTGCTAATGGCAATTCTTCACATAACAACTGGGAAGTGAAATCCCCTTTTCTCAGCTGCTTTCTAATACAGTGTAGCAGGTGGCAGAGAGGCAGGCAGTGACTCACTAGATCTTCCTAGACCACTGCAGAGTGCTGTGTGGGTATCTGGTGATCCATGCAGCACTGTTTGGCAACAGTTGTTTAAAGGGAAAGGTGAAGTGATTCAAGATGCTATTCTGATGCTTGTTAGGTAATTGTATAATTAGACAAAAGGGTAAGGAGAAATCTGGAAATCTGACTCCTTAATTCTTGCTCATTTCTTTGGGAACAGGCCACAAGTCAGGAAAAGAGCTAACATTTAGACACTTACCCTGTTCTAACTGCCTGTTCTACTGCATCAGGCTGCCAAGAAAATATTCCTAATCTAAATACATTAGGGTTCCATGCCTACATAGTTCAGAGGGTTAATGAGGGTTAAGAAGATCTTAAACAGGAGTCCAGCAGTCCAGTTTCTAATTACATACTATAAAATCTGTGCCATAAACTCATTATGTATCTCTGTGTATCAGTGACACACATACTAACCCTGGGACGTACATACGTAGCTCATCAGTGCTTACTATGTAAGTTTTAGTCTGTAAAATTTAGTTTTTAGGAGTTCCTTTAAAATGTGCCCATATTATAAAGGAAAAACATAACCCCACATTACTTCTGTAAGAATACACTGCATACTTTTTTTTATCTATGGTATTTAACGTGTTTTTCTCAATAAGTTGAGGACAAGGAGGCAAACTATTGAATGCAGCTGAAAAAGTGTGGTGTTATTTGGTATTTCATTCCCTGGAGAGGTTTTCATTTTATATAAAGCTACAGACTGAAATAACACAAATGAGATGAATCAAAAAGGCCTTGAGACCTGTCCTTAAATACTTGTTTGCCAAAAGGACCTAGGCGGCACAGTAGTTTGCCATGGCACTGATAAAGCAGTGGAAGGAGTGGCTGTTGTATCGGTTGCTGACATTTAGATTGAAAGAGTAAAAAGAAAGCGGGGGGGAGAGGCAGAGGGAGCTTTTGTCACCCACTGCAGATGGCAGCAACCTGCTCTGCTGATGATTCTGCTGGAGGAGCACTTCCTAACTAGCGACTGGTGATGTGACCTACAGAACACCCCTGAGGACAACGTGTGCATCAGTGGCTGTGACAGCCCTTGCGCTGAGCTCAGGCGCTCTCAGGCTCTTTGTGCAGAGAAATCTTTGTGAGAGGGTGGATTTCTCCAGGTTCTCCATCTCGGTGTTGCCTTGTGACAGTGAGAACCTGATTGGTACTTCAGTTTGCCTCTGGTTCTTCAACAGTCTCCGTCAGTATACAGCGTTTTAGTTGTTCTAGCTATCATGCCCAGGGAAAAAGAAACGCTTTTCTTGATGCTATCCTTTCAGGAGTGTTCATCTTTATTTTCCTGAGTGGATTCTGACATTTAGCTGGTATAAATCATTGTAGAGTCATTAGAGCAGAGTTTCCACTGGTGTAAATTACTGTGCTGCTGTTTAAGGTCTCGTAGACTGCTTTACGCTACCTGAGGGGTTTGGCAGCAATGCCAGCAGAGTAACACAGTGCACATTGGGAGCGGGTTAGGGTGGTATATGCTGATCACTGTTTCATGAGCTGCCTGTCGAGAGGAAGGTAATCCTTTATTAAAGAAGATGAAGGGGGAAAGTGCCACATCCAGGGAGACTTCAAAGTAGCAAATCTGTCCCTTGCATAGAATCATAGAATAGTTAGGGTTGGAGAGGACCTTAAGATCATCTAGTTTTCTCTGTTGTGGACAGTATTCCCTTGTGGCTCAGCTCCCTTCTGTCAGACTTGCTGGTTTAACTTTTACCTGTCTCTAGCTCCAGACTGCATGCCCTATTACTTCACATTTGGATTAAATTAGTTGTGAGGCTTTTGCTGCTCAAGTCACAAGTAGCCCAACTTGGATTGTTACCTGTGTGTCGCTTTGATTCTGCTAAAGGGAATTCCCATAGGGCCAGGAGACTGGAATGAGTAGGTTGCCGTGGCTGCTGTGGGGCTTTTTGTTTTGGTCCTAATGTGAATACTCTACCAAGAAAACAATTGCCAGGTATGAAATGCTACCCAGTGTCACCACGGTGATAAAATGAGATGAAGGATGTGAATTGCTATTTTCCTGTGTTGATGTTTTCCATATATGATGTTAAATGGGAGGAAATGGAATCCTGGCTCAGTTGCAGGCCCTATAGTGAGGGGGGGACTGGGGCAGGTGGAAGCTCACTGCTGCTTCTGCCTGCTGTCATCCTCTGTTAAAAGGAACATCCCTGAAGACACTGAGGATGTTATGGAGGAGCTAACTCGACAAGTCAATTTGGTTTTAAGAATAGAGCAATTACTGTGGTGGAGACTAATTGATTTGTGAGGGATGTGGGGCCTGAAGGAGTAAAAAGCTGTGTGTAGAGGGAGTGGAGGCGCTTTTGGCCCTGGGTCATTTGGGAGCTGTCGCATCACGTAGCTCTTGATAGATTAACAGTGAAATCATTTTTGTCATCTTTCAAGTGATCCACCAATATAAGATTAATTCTCCTACCTGAAACAAGAGTTGATCGATAGTATTGACAAGCAGATCCTCATTTCAGAATGTTCTGATACTGGGGTTTTTATCCTGTTCTGAAGTCACTTTTTTGTGTTGCAATTTACTTCATTATTCCACCAGAAGATCTAATGGAAAATATTTTCCTGACACAAAATCGAGTGTGCCTTCTGTGTTTTTCAGGCAGTTTCATAATTCCTTGGGTTTGTTGCAGCTTGGAGCATGAGTATATTTTCGATTAACATCTTTTAATATAATTGAAATTCCAGTTTCCTCTCTGCGTGGTTGAGAATATTTTTGTCCACAAAACTAATTTGAATTCATTAAATATTAATCAATATAACTATTAATAACTACAATGAATGCAAGAGACGCCTAAGGATGAATAGCCACGTTCTACAGAGGGAAGGGAAAACATCAATGTTTTTATTCAAGGCCACACAGAACTAAGCATGCGAATGTATGAAGCTTCTGATCTCAAGCGCTGTGCTCAGAGAGCTGAGGTATTCAGACATGAACAGATTCAGCAAAGGAAGGGACAAACACCTATAGAGGAATTGCCATTGTTACCTAAATGGAAGGAGAGTTATCACTGTTTCTCCTGCCTTTTCTATAGGGGAAGCTAATTATACAGTTAAATATGAATTACTTTCTTGACCTCCCATAGAACTTCAGGAAAAGAAAATCTTTCACTGATGGATGGATCAACTTAATACTAGGCTTAAACTTTCTACTGCTGAGACAATGCATCCTCCTGTAGTGTAGTTGGAGTAGGAAAAGAAAATATTGGTCCAAAGTTTACACAGCCCTTACCACATGTGGTATTAATCTCTTCTGAATCTGAATGATTGCAATAGGATTTGTCAGTAACGGTTTACAGTAATTAGCATTATTCCTCACTTAAGGAAATGCCACCTACTTTGGGGGAATAATGTTATCTTTTTGTGTTCAGGCATCAATCAGGAGCTTTAATAAAAACCAGGCTTAAAGAGAATTCCACAGTTTTTTGCCAAGACAATGCAATTTAAGACTTGGAATTCCAAAGGCAAGTTGAAGCATATTTTTGCAGTGTCAGCTTGAGCAATGTTATCCTGTGGTTTTCAGCCGTAACAGCATAAGATATAATTTGTATTGGAAAGAATTTGACTTATTACATGTGACACTGTTGTGAAATCTCGTGGTGGGAGTGGAATCCAGTCATGTCACCACCATATAAATCTCTGGAATAGGGAGTTTGTAGTAGTAATTGCTATCTGTATTTGAGCAGAACACCATCATCAATTGTTGGCTGATGCCAAAGTGAGAGCCATGTATCACTCTTAGTAGTTGAGGTGCAAGAGAAATAAAGGCATAGTAAAAGATCATCAGGAAAGATACATTCAATCTAAATGATGCAGTGTTTGCTCAAGTGGATGAATAAAAGAGAAGCTAGAGTGTAGGCAAAGAAGGTACACAGCACTGGAAGGACAAAATTTACAGTGATAAACAAACCCCAGAAGTAATAGAAGAAAGTAATAGAAGAAGTAATGCAGAAGTAATAGAAGGAAATTAAGCTACTTAGTGCTAAGTGAGCACAGTGTCACTGGAAAGTAAGCAGTGAGCTGAGAGGGGGGAAAAAATGCATGTGTTGCTGGTCAGATTGTTGGCAACTCTCTGAGGCAGTACTTTTGCAATAGGTTAATTGAAACCTTATTAGCGGAATAATCTCATGCTGATACAAATTAGCTATCTAGGAATTACTGAAGTAGCTATGCCGAAAAGCATGCAGCCTCCCTAGGCTTGTTTTACCATTCCCTTGCCATAAGGGCCAAGGGAATAAATGATCATGTTTATAGTTTTATGGAATAAATAGGGGCCTATAAAGAAGGATTTTGGGTTAGATGAATTTTGCAAACTGGAAAACAGA